GCAGAGCAGTGGTGCTCGCAGGTGGTGAGACATAGAAGAGGAAAAGGGTGAGGTGCGGTGGACAAGTTTTTTTGGAGAAATAAGAATGTGAGGTGGAGATTGGGTCTCTTAAATATGAAAGAAAGAAAATTCAATCTTGATTATTGGTTTAAAGAAAAAATTATATCAGGATTGTATATCAAATTGAGATGGATGACTCAGATTAAAAGATGAGAGTTTTTTAAAAATGGAATTGAATCATAAAGCTATAATTGAAATAAAGTTGAATTTAAGGACGCGTTTGAAATGGATTGAATAGGAATAAAATGCTATGAATTAAGTAATTTGAACATAAGAGGCTATGATTTAAGGGAAGATTAAATGAATTTCTATTTAATTCACGGTCAGGTACCAAATACTTTTCATTTAGAAATTTAAATATGGAGTATATTATTCAATTGTTTCACCAATTACACAATGCACAAAGATGAGTCCCCATATAAGATTGGGTGAATTGTAGATTCTCTAACATTAGTGGAAGATAATAAATTGAAAAATAAGTTATGTCATCATTGTTCAGATCCTCCTTGAAGAGATAATTTAAGTCAAAAGTCAGATGCATTCGATGACTGTATGTTATAATCTAGTTATAAATATTTCAATAAAAAATTCTAGAAGAACATAATTTATGATATGCTTGAAGCGTGATAGATTACTCGATTCAAAAGATAAAATTTCTTGAAGAAGTAAAGGAACAAAATGATCAAGGTTGTGATGATAATGACACAAAATCTTTAGAAAGAGGACCATAACATAACACTTCATAAAAACTTTGCGAAAAATCATGTACTTGAAAATAAATAAAGATCGACAAGTTTTGTCATATTATAGTCTATATCAAATAACCGTCGATAGTATTTTTAATATATATAATTTAGCGCTAAAAGATTGTAAATGGTGGCAAGGATCTTGAATTCAAATCCATCAAATGATATAAATAGATCAATCATTGGACAATATTTATGCGATTCAAGTATATTTTATTTTCCTTTTTAAAATGATATTTGGGACTTATAGTCCATATACCAAGTATAATGTTAGTGGGGTACAAATAAGTTATTATGGTACAAATAATATCGTAAGATATAAAATATGATTAGTACTTTAAGGCATAAAAGATTTTTGCAGAAGTACTAACATTATTGTATAGAAATTGTTCTCATATGGTAGATGAAATGAGGTTGTCTGTATGAAAATATAAGAAAAAAACTTGAAATACATATAATGAATGATTATCATGTTTATCATATATTATTATAATTGGGAAGCTCCTAACCTCAAAATTGACTTGCCATTTTATCCTTATGTTACCTCTAAAATAAATTAATATTAATATCTATATAATTAATTAAATATTAAGTAAAAGGTACATATAAATTCATGCATCAAATAAGATCTTAATGCATAATATATTCATGTACTACTTAAATGTAGATAATGAAGAGTCTAATAACCTTTCAATTTTAATTTGTAAGATAAGTGGGGGTAAGTGAAGAGTCTATCAAACATACTCACACCACATTATTTATATTCCTTATGTTATTCAAGTTTGTAATCATCTTGCATTCTACAGTAGGTTAGTCTACATCCCTTGTAAAATTTTCATTATCAGTTTGTAATTATAAGAATTCTTACTATTTTATTTATTTCTATTCTTTAAAATTTCATGCATATTCATCTTCTTTTTATTGAGAAATATGTAAATCGTGATAGTTACAAGATGAATATACTCCAATATGAAGTTGTAAGTAATATTTATTTTTCATATCTCCATCGTTTTGAGTTCTTAAATATAACTTTGTAGTTGATTATTGTATTTTTGTATTCAACCTTTCTTCTATTTTTAGGATATATATAGTAAAGCTAATCACATTTTGTATTTATCATTAATTATTTTGAGGGTAAACATGTTAAATCTCATAGAATAATAATTATGTCTCTTTCATTGTTTGATAATCATTTATCTTTTTGAACCAACATATTTGTACTTTTTTCTTTTTATATGTAATCTCAAATATTTTAAAATTTCATGTACTTAACTGTTATAAAAAGGTACAAAATAAGTGCAAAAGTAAAAATAAAATAAAAAATAATGTATCGTAAAATAATGACTAAGTGATACATTGAATAATATTATTTTAGAATTCATTATATATATATATATATATATATATATATATATATATATATATATATTATCTTTATTCTTACCATATTCATGCCTTCTTTTATGTTTGTCTTATTTATTATTGTTATATGACTATAGTTTTATACATATAATATATTTCGTCTAGAGTAAGTCATGTGTTGTCTAGAGTAAGTCTACTTTTAACAAAATGTAATTCAATTAGTATGAAAATATTTTTGTGTATACATTTTAATGTGATGTCATTTATTATGGATGTCATGTCTTTATTTACTTCTTTTTTTCGTTTGAAATTGTAATTTTTTCTATAAATTTGATGGTATACCGCCCAAACATTTTGTAATATTTTTCTTTATATTATCTTTTTTTATAGACAATTTCTTTTTTGATTATTAAAACTTGTGTTTAGTTATTAAAATATATTAATTCCTCTAATAAAATAAAATATTAATTTTTCATGAAGCCTCCAACATCTAACACAATATTCTCATGTTATATTTTGTGCAGAGTTATATTCTTATGTTAAACTTACATATGAAAGGACTTAGATTTGAACTTAGCTATATAAATTAAAGTTTTCTTATATCAATTAGGAGACAAACGTGCGATGCACATTTCGAGAACTAGTTTTATGAAAATTCATGAAGGATTTTAAAGCAATTCCATTGAATAGTACCCTAATGGTTATGATATCGCTTGACATAAAGATCAACTGTGATCTCAATAAAATGGTAAGAAAGAACCATGTTACAGTGCAATTGATGCACCTATTTATTGTGCTATTATTATTTCTTATACAATAACTTTATTAATGTACATGCAAAATATAACATCACTTTTATCGGTGAAGATATTAGAGAAACAAATATTCACACAAATTTTTTATTCTGATTTGTAAGGTTTATTGATTATGGAATTGCAAGAAATTATGAATTTTGATTTCAAGAAAGTTGTATGTTTTTACGTGGAAATACTGTCATATTAAATCATTTCACAAAACAATCAGTTTATTTTCGTACAAGTGAAAGTGTCGCTCAATGTTTGATTGTTGTGTCTAACAAGTCAAATGAGCAATTTGTCTAAACTGACTAGATCATCAACCGAGTGGTTGTCAAAAATATCTTTGGTCGAGATCATTAACTCTACACATTCAAGAAAAATGTGACATCACTTCGAAAAGAGATAATCCAACAACATTATATGAGAAAAGAACACATATATAACACAATTAAGAAGAGGACACATCAAAGGAGGTAACAAAATATATATTTTATTCTTATTTTACTCGTGATCTTCAAAACAAGGGTGAAATAGTTCAACAAGTTCGTTCAAGTGAAAATCTAACAGATATATATTCACGAAGACATTACCAACTTCAATCTTTGAGAAGTTGATATACAAGATCGTAATGTGTCATTTTCAGATTTTTAAGTGATGTTTTCATTAAGGGGAGTAAATACGCGTCGCACTCTTTTTTCTTTAACTAGGTTTCATCGCACTAAATTTTTTTGGTTAAAGTTTTTAATGAGGCAAATAAAGTGTATTACTACACTTTTTCTTTCACTAAATATTTTTCTTTTATTTGTACATCCAATTGTGAGTATTTTAAAATAAATGTCCACACAATATATTTTGTGCCCAAAAAATAAACTCCATGCCTAGTAACTTTGTGCTCAAGTTGTGTAGCTTATATATTTATCCCCTCTTATAATATGAAAGGGGGGAAAATTTGAAATATATCTGAACTTTGACTGAAATTATTGTTACGATATCAAATTTTTAAAGGACATTTGACCTAATACACTATTTAATAGTGTATTTCAAAGGTATATATGTGTCCACGTGGACAAAAGAATTGCATAATTATAAATAGTAATGTATCCACGTGGGCACAAATATACTATTAAATAGTTCAAAGGAGAGGGGATAAAGATCTTCATAAAATTTTGTATCGTAACAATAATTTCGACTTAAGTTAGAGTATTTTTCAAACCTTTTTCCTAATATGAAATGATATAAAGAAGAAAAAGAGTTCAATAATAAAGGAAAATTACTGCTACATTACGTTTTCTCTTTCCATATTTGTTCCTCTTAATTTCAATATATTATCTTTATTTTATACTCCATTTCTTTCAGACTCTATGCAAAATTTAAGAAAAAGAAGTAAGTTTTCTGAAATTTATAAAACAAAATGAATGATAAAAATTTATGCGACTATTTAAAATAAAAATACACACTTTATAATTAAACTGTTAATTAATATATAAAAGTGTCAATTATTTTTTGTACACAATAAAGATCTTTTACTGATTTTTCAACGATAGATTCAAATAAATAGTAGTGATAAGCAAATGCGTGGTGAATGATGCAAGGAATAGAGAGTAGGAAGATAGTGTAGGTGCACCAAAAGATGGAACCCACAAAAGTCGTTTTGAGCCGTTTAAAAATAGGGCCCCATCCACATCCTCCAACCTATTTTTCCATCACTTGTCAATAGTGATGTTTAGTTTCACTAGTACGTACTACTTTATAAGATTTTCAAATTTATTGACAAGTTTGAAAAATAAAACTCTTTTTGACTCCTAATTCTCTCTTTTTTTCGCTCTCCGTGTTTAAAATTCATATTAAACTCTCACTAAATTTAAATTATGGTTTGCATAGCTCAATAGGGAGTGATAATCTGAATTTTATTTATATTCACGCCTCAAATTTAAGATATCTGATTAAATAAGAAATACTTTCACTAATATGCCACAACACGTATTCGTCTCTCTCCTTCTGCCAATTACTGTCTGTAGTTATATTTAATGTGTTTTTCTTGAAACTATAAGAGGGGGCGGGGTCCTCTATCTATATCTTATGTCTTATTGTTGGGGTTTCAACATACTCTTCCTTCTCTGATACTCTCCTTTTCTTTTTGAACTTGAAAAGACAGGTGCTTATAATCTGGAAACTTTTTGAGAAATATGAATGCTTCAAAGTTCATCAAATGTGTAACTGTAGGCGATGGTGCTGTTGGCAAGACCTGCATGCTCATTTGTTACACCAGTAACAAGTTCCCTACTGTGAGTTTCTTCTTTCCTTGTTATACTACTTCTAATCTGGGCATGAGACGAGTGGACTCTGGTAAAGCTTGAACAATCCTTTTTTTTAGCTAGCTTTTGGAAAGTGAGTTAAGCAGAAGAGCTAATTTGACACATTCATCAATATTTTTCCCCAAATCCAAATATATGTTTCATCGACAGTTGTTCCAGTTCTTATTTTGGGGGTTTTCTTGGCAGGACTATGTTCCAACTGTATTTGACAATTTCAGTGCCAATGTAGCTGTGGATGGGAGCATTGTCAATTTGGGTTTGTGGGATACTGCAGGTACTTCAACTTTTATGCAAATAGGTGGGTTGTTTTTTATTTGTACATTGGACTTATGTATTAACTTTGTGGTAAAGGTCAAGAGGATTATAGCAGGCTGAGACCACTAAGTTACAGGGGTGCAGACATTTTTGTACTAGCTTTCTCTTTAATAAGTAGCGCAAGCTATGAAAATGTTCTTAAAAAGGTACTCCTTCCAACACTTACTTTTCTATATCATTGTTTCAACAAAAATGTCTATTTTTTGTTGGTATATCTCTATTATTGTCATTGTCAATGATGCAAAAGTTTAATCTTATTATAAATTGAATGCAGTGGATGCCTGAACTTCGTCGTTTTGCACCCAATGTCCCAATTGTACTTGTTGGAACTAAATTAGGTATGAGTTAAGCTGATATCTCATTTTATTGTATTTTACAAGCCGATGGATATGGAGAGATTTGTTCTTGATTTCCTATTACTAAAGCTTATTCGTTTCTACATTTTTGCTAGACATTCGAGAAGATAATCGCTATCTAGCAGATCATATGGGCTCAAATATTATAACACCTGCCCAAGTGCGTGAATATGTTATTTTGGAATTTGCAAATGCTTTAACAGAGCTGGCACATTCATGACTCAATTGGCTTGAATGCAGGGGGAAGAGCTAAGGAGACAAATTGGTGCAGCAGCTTACATAGAGTGCAGCTCTAAAACTCAACAGGTATTTTAGCTGTGCTAAATATTAACCTTCAGTCTCATTAACTATGTGTTGGCTGCTAGGCGAACTTTCGCTAACACTTGTAATTTGAAATATTTGCCTTTTTAACTTAACTGATTTATGGCTGTCAGAATGTGAAAGCTGTTTTTGACACTGCAATCAAGGTTGTGCTTCAGCCACCTAGGAGGAAGGAGGTAGTGAGGAAGAAAAGGCAAAGAAGCACTGGTTGTTCAATTGTGTAAGTTTAGCATTCTAACATATATTGTTTATCAACAAGAATTGGACCATATAATAACATATCCTTATGAGTTTACCATTTGTTACATACTTGATTTTGATATGCTTTACTTGAGCCGAGGGTCTACCAAAAAACAGTGCCTCTCTACCTTTTTGTAGAGTTAAAGTTGTGTACACACCACCCTCCTCAGACTCCACTTGTGGGATTAAACCGGTTATGTTGTTGTTCCTTATGAGTTGACCTGACTGCTTACGTACCAATAAAATTTGAAACTTAGGGCATGCTTAACCTAGTGTGAATCACAAGATGTAACTCTCTCCATTAGACACTTTTAAACTACCAAAATGAAGGTTGTTAATCCAAAAACTCAACGGTCATTGTAAATTAGACAAATCATGGAAACAAGATATGGTCTTTATGAGGTGCAAAATGTTGTTTCAATGTGAATTAATGCTGATGTTTATTGCAAACTGACTCTGCTTGGAGGTGGTATGTTCAAATTTTATGTTTGAACTATACTATTTGCTTTACCAGGGTTAAGAAGTAACTTGGGATATATGTTTCACTAAACCATCTGAATTGGCTTAAGATTTTCTGATTTTTACAAGTCATAAGACAAAGCAAGGCAAATGTATTTGGCATTTTGTACCGTGCTTTTCAGTTTTGTTCTGTTAGATCCAAATTGTTGAGAATGCACTGAATGTGAATCAATGTTGCTATCCACATGCTTGCTCTTTGTATTGAGGCATCTATGGCTTGCTCTCACTAATTGTATAGGCACTCAGGTGGTGTCTAGTCGGAGTTCATTTAAGTTTTTGCATTTGCTCTACAAATACTTTCAACTATTTGGCGAAGTGATTCTTAGTTCGTAACTTTATAAATGAGAACCATAGTATGTTGCTTGTTGATAGACTATTTGTTCAGTCTCTAAAGTTTCACTTGGTTTCAACAGCAGGGGGATCGTTTGTGGAGGCTGTGTTGCTTAGGAAAGTTTAGGATTTGATGTTCGTGATATGTATCCTTCCAACATGATCTGACTCAAGCTCTTCCCAATTGTTTTTTTGCGGTACAAGCCAAAGCTGGAACTTGCATTATTATGATATAGCTGACGAAGATTGTATTGTATTACCTGTTTTGTAGCACAAACTATTTGTGGAGAAGCAGAGGAAAATGTTGATTTCCTCAAGTTATGTATTTTTAATGTGTTGGTCTTGTGGATACACTGTTAACTTGGTTAAAGGAATATCATCCCAAATGCACTTCTTATCTTTTACGATAAATCATTTTCTTTTTCTTTTTTTTTTATTTCAAAGAGAGTACTTTCAAAAGAAGACCAAAAAACAGATCTCACATTCCGAAGTCCCTTGAACTTGAACCAGAAAAATGACTTCTAAATAAGAAGAAAACGCCACAACTTCATGTCACAACCTGGAGACACAATGAACGTAATAAGGAAATACACTGTTTAACAATCTTTTGCGACCGTAATATAGAAGAAATACTAACTAACAACGCCTAATCGGAAAATAATAGTAATTATTTTTTTTATTGGATTTGATTTAGAAATGTCATCGTTCACCCATTGGCCCAATATAGTTTAGACACTCTTAAAGAAATGATTTTTGAATTGGTGTACCTAGTCAAGAGGCTTAGAGTCCGTTTGGTCATTCGATAGAAATCATGATTTGAAATTATTATATGAAATTGGTAATTTGTTTGGACATGCAATTTGGATGTTATGACTTCTTCTCGAAGCAAGTTAGGGTTCTACGGATCTTCTAGTCTCCTTTCCAATTTCATCAAGAATTTCTGTCAAGATTGTGAGAAATTAATCAATGGGTGCTATTCACCGATTCATTCCCCAAGAAACCTCAAATTTCCATTATGATTCTTGCCTAATTTCAGGCTTTTCATGATTTTGCTTATGGGTTAAATTGATTTCAAGTTTATTCGTCATGATTCATGATTGATCTTATTATACATGATTTGATAAAAATGCAATATTTTCATGAATCCATATAAATATTTTATGATTATGAATCAAGCTTGCTATATCAATATGCATGCTTTATGGTAACAAGTTGTGGTGTACTAGTCTTAAATATAATCCTCTCACATAGTAAAAATAATATTCTTACAACTTGTATTTATAATTCATATGACTAAGAAGACGAATCAACGTTATTACTTTGAACCATTTGTTGGTCAATTTGGTTGATAAATAAATTTAATAAAAAATAATAAATTAGGTGAATATAAATTGTAAAGTAGAAATTGATTTGAATTAATAATATTAAATTATATGTTAGCAATAATAATTATTATATGAGATGTAAATAACTTAAAAAGTAATGATATAATTATAAATTTTATTTGCATGTTTAAACATATATTCCTATAAGATAAATAAAAATGGTTATCCTCGAGCTTGCTAACTAAAAAAAAAAATCACAGGTCATTGCCTAGTTTGGATAGTCAAATGCACCTATTCTAGGCATCAAGGATTGTCGACCAACTATGGGTATGTTTGGTTATTATTGGCGTGAAACATATATTTAACAATCCAGGCTACTATTCTTTAACTAATAAGGGGTTGGTTCTATAGGAAATATGAAAGGAAATAGCATCTTTAGAGAATACTCAAGTTTATTATAGGCTATCTAAGACCACTTGAGATGATTATGATAATTAATTATATTATTATTTATACTACTCAAAGTAGAAAACAAAATGTCTTACACAAATAACTTATACATGTGTCACAATTTATTAGATACATGTACTACGAAATTCTAAAGAGACTTCTTAAAAAACTAAGAGACAATTTCGGAAGACTAAACATTGATACATTAACTACAACACTCCCCCAGCATTCGCTTGATAACTCCAATGCGTTCTTGAAGATAGCAAAATTTTTCTCTAGAAAGTGCTTTGGTAAAGATGTCAGCAAGTTGTTCTCCTGTCTGACAATAATGCAACTGAATTTCATCTTTCTCTTGTGCTTCTCGGATAAAATGATACTTGATGGAAATATGCTTTGATCTTTCATGGCTGACTGGATTCTTTGCAATTGCAATTGCTGATTTGTTATCACAATATAGAACAATCCTTTTTTTTTAATTTTTCACCAGTGTCTTCAAATATTCTCCTAAGCCAAATAACTTGAGAAGTAGCCTTGGATGCTGAAACATATTCTGCTTCGGCAGTGGATTGAGCAACACAACTTTGTTTTTTTGATAATCAAGAACAAATAGTTGATCCAAATAAGAAAGCATAACAAGAAATACTCTTCATGTCATCTATACTTCCAACCCAATCACTATAAGAATAACCAATTAAGTTCAAATCTCCACCAAATTTGTACATTATCCCATAATCCATTGTTCCATGCAAGTAGTGTAGAACATGTTTTGCAGCTCCAAAATGCTTTTGGCTTGGTTTTTGCATGAATCTAGATAATAAACTAGCAGCAAACATATTATCTGAGCCTTGTTGAAGTAAGATATAACAAACTTCCAATCAAGCTCCTATAAAGTGAGCTATTAGCTTTCTTTTCTCCATCGTCTTTTCTAAACTTCTCATTTGATGCTAATGGTATGACCACGACATGCAATCCATCGTTTTGAATTTTTGAAGAATACTTTTAGTATATTTCTTTTGAGAAATGAAAATTCCTTCTTTCACTTGAGAAACTTCGACACCCAAGAAATAATTTAGCAACCTAAGATCACTCATTTCATAAGCTTGCATCATATCTTGCTTGAAATTTTGCATCATCTTTACGCCATTTCCTGTAAAGAGCAGATCATCCACATAGCGACAAACAATGATAATGCTGCCATGTTCTTTCTTCACATACAAAGTGGCTTTACTTTTACTTCTCTGAAAATTATTTTTCAGAAAGTATGTACCTATTTCATTGTATCAGGCTCTTGGAGCTTGCTTCAGTCCGTAAAGAGCTTTTTTTAGCATGTACACCTTCTCTTCTCCCCCTTAAACAAAAAATCCTTGAGGTTGCTCAACATAAATCTCTTCATCAAGTTTTCCATTCAGAAATGCAGGTTTAACATCAAGTTGTAATATCTTTCATTTCTTTTGTGCAACAACAACAATTACAGTTCTAATTGTCTCAAGATGAGCAACTGGAGAGAAAGTTCCATAAAAATCATTACTTGTTTTTTGTGTGAAGCCTCTAGCAACCAACCTTGCTTTGTGCTTTTGCATATCTCCTTCTTGATTGAGTTTGATTTTGTAAATCCATTTTAGACTTACAACTTCTCTTTCTCTGGGTATAGTCACAAGCTCCCAAGTATTTATTTTTTTAAATCATCCGAATTTATTCTTCCATGTCTTTCTTCTAAACATCACACATTATTGCTTCTTCACAATTTTCTGGCTCAACACCAACAAAGTTACATCTTTGGTAAATGTCACTCAACATTTTTGTTCCTCTTTGAGGCGGTTCTTCATCATCTGAATGTGGGATCTATCCCTTGAGAGACATCTTCATCTTTATCGTCTTCTTCTTGATTTGAAGATATGATAGCAGTATTCTCTATCTTTTTATCCTCCCAATTCCATGTTGTTTTTCATAAAAAATGACATCTCTACTAACAACAAGTTTGTTAGTTTTGACATTGAGAATCCTATATCCTTTTGTTACATCACTATAACCAAGAAAGATACATTTTTGACTTTTTTTCATCCAATTTTGTTCTTTTTTCACCAGGTACATGAGCATAGCAAATACATCCGAAATTTTAAAAATGACTTATAGAAGGTTTAACTCCACTCCAAGCTTCAAGTGGTGTCTTATCCTTTAGTGCCTTTGATGGACACCTGTTAAGGATGTAAACTCCAGTATGCACTGCTTCTGCCCAAAAATATTTTGTCAGCCCTTTCTCATTAATCATAGTTCTGACCATTTCAACAATTGTTCTATTTCTTCTTTCAGATACACCATCTTGTTGAGGAGTATATCCTGCTGTCAGTTGCTTCTGAATGCCTTCATTTTTGCAATATTCTTCAAATTCTCGACTTGTGTATTCACATCCTCTATTACTGCGAATGATTTTGATGCTGCAACTTTTTTGCTTCTCAACAAGGGCTTTAAATTTCTTGAATGTCGTAAATGCTTCTGACTTTTCTTTCAAGAAATAAACCCAAGTCATTCTCGAGAAATCATCAATAAAGATTAGAAAATATCTTTGACTTTCAAGAGATGGAGTCTTCATTGATCAGCAAATGTCGGTGTGGATTAGTTCCAAAAGTACACTTGCTCTCCAAGACCCCCCTTTTCGAAAAGACTTCCTATGTTGCTTTCCCATTATACAACTTTCACTTGGATCCACCTCAGTATGTATCTCAGGAAGGACTTGCACCATGTCCTTTTGCTTGAGAAATTTTAAACCATGAAAATTCAAGTAACAATATCTTTTGTGCCAAATCCATTAATCATCTACAATTTCATTTATTTAATGCATTGTAATGAAATTGCAAAAGGAAGTTTCTATTTATCATCTTACTTCAACAATGACTTGATTTAGCTTAATTTGTTATAAATCCTGCATTAATTATCTATAAACACAAGAGAATAACCTTTTTCCATGAGTTGACCAACATTAAGAAAATTTTCTTCCAAATTAGGAACATAAAGAACATCATGAATTTGCTTACCGCTTCCTTTCATATTGATCGAAATAGACCTTTACCTTTCGCATCAACTAAGGCTTCATTACCCATTCTCACATTAGTAGTGATGCTATTATTAACTGAGAGGAAAACCTTTTCATCTCCAATCATGTGATTACTACAACCACTATCAACATACCATTCATTGCTTTTGTAGAAGCATCAGATTTAGAAGCAAAGAAAAGGTTTTCTTCCCTTTCTTTTTCACAAAAAATTGTTTGGTCCCGTTTCTTGTGCCAACAATCCTTTTCAACGTGGCCAAACTTTTTACAAAAGTTACATTGGGTCTTGCCTTTGTGCGAACATTTTTCTACATTGAATTAGTCTTTTTGCAAACTTTACAAAAAAAACTAGAGTTTTTCTCACCTTTTTCTTTAACCTTCTTGGAAGAACCATCATGATCCTGCTTCTTTTTGGCTTGTAATTCTTCTTATGTTGATTTTTTGAGAAATTTTGAGGATTCTCATTTTTTTTTAGAATGGAAAGTCGTCTCTTTGGGTTGATCTTCACGAAAAAATCTTTGCTTCTCGTGTGCACGAAATGATCTAACTATCTCTTTGATGGAAAGCTTAGAAAGTTCTTTCGTCTC